TCGGGAATTGTAAAGCAGTGGTTCGTATTGACATGAAAGATCCAGTTTGAATTCACAAAAATTAGACTGTATGATTGAACACGTCAGAAATCGTCACTTACCTTTAAATATTCCTTATTTGTGATATGTCGGTAAACTCGGTAGGTGTGTTCCGGAGTTATCAAGGGATTGCCTCTTTTGAACAGGTCGCTCTAAGCCTCGGTCTATGTCTACAAAGAATGCGTCGGCGGTGTCACGTATGTATATATGACCTGTGGCCACCAATTAGGAAACGCGTACTGTTCACGCGATTTAGAGTCAGTGATTACTTGTTGTAATGACGCTTTCTTATCTTGGGTGCCAGTGATACGGTGCGCCGAATGCTTCAAAATAATTATAGCACATGTTTTAATAAACACTTGAATAAATAGATTGCTACTCGTGAGTTTCTTTACTGAAATTCATTCTAAAGCCAATACGGAATACAAATTTCATGGGTTCATAAAATAATATATATCAAAAGTTATATATTAGGGGCAAAACAAATAAAATGGTTCAGCTCAAGGCTTCATTTAAAATATTGTATAGATACCGGCTTGACTTTCTGATAAATATGACCTGATCATACATTATCTGGCGAAGAGGTTGGCTGCAATGGATTTCCGTCACTTAGTGCCATACCTGACCACACGGGGCCCTGGAAAAATGGGTGATGATAATACAATGGACGGATAGTAATAAAGTATTGACCATAATGATCCGTGGTACATCGTGGTCATTTCACAATGTAATCTCATCCTTACAATTAATTAAATACAAATTTAGTATATTATTCTTATTTTTGACTCGCTGTTAACATAACTCTGTACTATGGTATTGGTGGTATCATTTGGGTGCCATAGGATGGTACTTAATGGCCAACCAACCTAATCCAATATGTAGTTTGCATTATACGAGTGCAAAATAAGTTATTTAGGAAATTAGGATATCAGTACCAGCTGTTTTATACGCATGCGCATTGGCCGATCCTGTCAAATCTCGTCATCTGTTTTGGGGCGTGTCTGGTCGATGTTAAATTGCTTCAGCCATTGGGTAAAGGAATTAACTGGTGTAGGTGTGAAAACCGCTGTAAAGTGGCGGTAAAATGAATTTGCGCGGTTTTTTCGCTGCCATTTTCTGGATAATTTGGAGCAGCAATGGAAGCCGACCATTTAATTGATAAAAATATTGTCCAGAATATGATTTTAAATGGCCGAACTTATAGAGAAATCAGTCTCGTATTGCATGGAGGTCCATGTGTATTGAAAAGCATGTTTCCGGGAAGGAGAGGTGTCGAGGTGGCGTGGCGTGGTCAGTAGATTTCTTCCCCGGGACGCCGAGTTGGGCGTCGCTACCTAGAGAGAGGCGGTGGTGTCGAGCGGCCAACATAGTAAACCAAACTTAAAACTCGTGATAGTGATACTGGTGCAGACAACTATGGTGGAACAACCATGAAAAATAAATGGCGGGACTTTGGTGTTGTACATTTAGCACAGAAATAAAAGACACGCCCACAGTTGGACAACCAATCGTTTTATTATTGGTCACGATGTACCACGGATCATCTCCACATCCTTTGTAAACACCACATACCCGATGTGCCGCCATCCAATGGCGGGATGAGCGGCTTCCTTTGTGCACAATCAGCGTCAACTTCATGAGAGAAACACGACGCACTTGCTAAGCCAGACCGTCT